TCCTCTTTTCTCTCTCTCAATCTCTTGGTTTCTTCTCTCCCTTTTTTCTTCTTGCCAAAGCCCCTTTTATAGACAAACGAAAAAAAAAAATCATTTTCTAATTCTCAATCCAATCTAAACTCCTAAATTATAGATTTAAATATCCAAATCCTTCTCTAATTCTAAATCCTTAAATTACAGAGAATAATTTAATCCTACTCAAAATCAGAATTTAGTTCTTCAAGCATCTTCCCCCTTTAAAGGCCAGATTCAAACCTCCTAAAGATTTGGACTCCAGGTTGAATCAATTTTGAAATCTTTTTCTATGATTCTTGATGAAGAATTCGAATCCGAAAATTTCTCCATTCCGATGCCATAATCTATCCAAACTCGAGTAGATTTTGGGATAAACCAAGAAGAATTTGTGAATTTTTGGAGAATGGGTGGCGGCAAGAATCATGAGTTTTGGAAGGCTAGGGTTCGATTGAACCCTGGCGTTCTATTTTTGTTTTTGCCCACAAGCAAGACAACGTCGTTTTGTCAATTCTTCCCCCTTTAGCCCTTCAAGTTTCATGCTTTTACAAAAAATGGTTCATTGGCTTCCAATATTATTATTCAGCCCCAATTAAAATTGGGTTATGACAATGAACATTGCTAAAAACCAATCACAATTAATGTAGACAAGAAGAAAAACTCATGCAATGTGCTAATTAAGGTTTTTTTTTTTTTTTTTTTTTCTGTGGCATTAATGTCTAAAATAGGTATAGTTTTGAATATTAGACGAGGTTCAATCATTTCAGTTAAATAACAATAGGAAAATTAAGTAGTTTTGGTGATTATATCTATATTTATTTATTTGATATTTAATATTATTCAAGGAAAATAATTGATGTATCTTTTGGTTCAACAAATTTTTTACACTCGCTTAATTCAGCCTTTAAAATATAGTATAAGAACACTCAATTTAGTCAATTTTTACATGTATTTATGGCTGTCTCTTTTAATTTATTTGTCTTTAAATTTAATGAGTGTGTTGTATAGTATATTGAATCGAATAATGTATTAATCAATGTCCATTATTCTATTACCTCTATTTTTTATTGTTCTACGTTCTTATAAAACTCTTCAAGGTAACTTATAAAGACTTTTAATTAATATTAATTCAAGGAAAAAAAGTAGAAATACTTGTAAAATTACATAACAGTGTTTCTTGGGTCGACTTGCAAGAAAAAAAGTACAAAAGTACTTATAAAATTATTTAAATACTCTTAATAAATCACCCATTGATTCATTAATAATATTTAAAATTTTTCATAAACATTCTACACTTCATCCCTATTCAATGAAGTAATAACATGGTTCGGAAAATATTAAGTACTCATTAGTGTTTTCATTTTTTAAATTAACAAGAGTTTTAAGAATTTTTCAACTCAAAACTTTCTTTTTTTACGATTTTTTCAATAGACAACTTTGTGTAATTGAAAATGCTCTAATGATAATTTTAAAAATATTTAGTTAATATTAACTTCAATTAGTAATTTTTTTTTGAAATCTAATTAATCTTTAATATCTTTATTTGCTATTTACTACTGTTTTATATAAGGACGATTTTTTCCATACATTTTAAGTAATTTTTTAAAAAAAATTGCTTTTAACTTTCATTCCCCATTTTAATTTCTATATGTCCCAATGAATAAACCCATGATAAATTATATAACAATTTTCTCTACTAAATTCATTTAACTTGATTCAAAATGATAATGCTATATTTAGTAATAAATTTCAAACAGCTTAGATAAAAATCAACGGCCATAATTTATGTAAAACTTGCACAAGCGAATCATAATTTATGCAAAACTTGCACAAATGTAAGTGGATCATGACCATTTTTCAAATAGTTTGTTTGCAAGTATTTTTCCCTTTTATTTTCTTTCAAATTGTTGGTTATTCACAAAATGCAATCCAAGACTATTTTTTGCAACCGATTATGTAAAGTACTGACAAAAAGAAAATTCTTTTTTTTTTTAAATAGTCAATTATTCACAAAAGGTTAAATCCTCATTTTGGTCCCTCTATTTTGGTAAAAAGTCACTTTTTAATCCTCCTACTTAAAAAAAGCCCTTTTTGGTCCATAAAGTTTGAAATCCAGCTCTTTTTTAGTCCCTCCGTTAAGTTTTGCATATGTGGCAGTTAGATGACGAAAATTTCAAAGTAAAGAGACCAAAAAGAGCTAAAAAAGATTAAAAATAGCCCCAATTTATTCCCTATACTTTGGAAAAATGCCCCTTTTTTATCCTTTTCCTTTAAAATTTTCATCATTTAACATCAAAAACTTAACAGAAGGACTAAAAAAGGATTGAATTTCAAACTTGAGAAATCAAAAAGAGGTTTTTTTAAGTAGAGGGATTAAAAAAAACTTTTCATCAAAATAAAGGGACCAAATTAAAATTTTAACCTTCACAAAATATGACAAAAGATTGTTATATAAGATTATAATTGATGAGACCAACTCTTCATTTACAACTTAAATATTATTATTTTACATCTTAAATATTATTATTTTTATATGATCAACACTTTAAGATTTTCACTCTCAATTAATACCGAGGTCATTTGTAACTCATGCACCTATTAAACTCTGTTTGTTGCTCGAACGCGTGGCACAATTTTGCATATGTGTCCATCCCTGGACAAAATGCCGTGACCAAGCATGATATGGTGTACACCACATTAGTGGGACCGACACGTTGGTAGGACTTCTCCCAAAAAAAAAGAAAATGAAAAAAAAAAAAGGGGTGAATTTTGTTTAAAGCAGAACACTTTCTCTCCTAAAATGAAGAAATGAAGATCTAGGGTTTACATATTGTCACGCCCCATAACCCAAATCCGAGGACGTGGCAGACGCCGTGCACTCATGAGACGAGTCCCGCAAGTGCATAAGGCTCAAAACTTATCCAATTCACATATGACAATCCCATAACACAGATCAGATATTTCAAAATTTCTTTTCTTTGCCCACATGACTTAACCTCAAAATCTCCAGATCAAATCTCTTATAAACTAACAATCCACTAAATGAATTTACAATCTCCAATTAAAATCTCGCTTACAAGATCATCATTTATATCTAAAATCCATATTCAATTTACACGATGGCTAGCCTTCTAACTCGTCACTCCCCTTAGTTTCCCCGTCCTCGATTTTGTTTCCTAAAATGGTGGACAAGGAAAACTATGAGATAAACTCAGTAAGTAAATATGGATAGCCCTTGGGTAACACTTTTAGCATGCCTGATCACCAGTTTAACATAACAAATCACTCAATGACAAAATCATATTCAGTTCACTTGCAAAGCATTCAATGACAAACCGTCCATGTAAAATCAGATTCAGTTCAATAACAAAACATTTCATGACAAATCGTTAATGCAAAACTCATAGCATGCCAACAAAGGTAATCACAAAAACAGATACAGTACGGGCACGAAATAGACGTCTCCTCTATGGGTCACGGCCAGCGTCTAACACCCACTGGCAAGCGCACTGTTTGCTGGTGTATAATCCCCACAAGCAGGGTCACTGTTTGCTGGTGTATAACCCCCACAAGCAGGGTCACTGTTTGCTGGTGTATAACCCCCACAAGCAGGGTCACTCAACGAACCGGTTCTATCAATAACATATCGACATGTGCCGAAAAGTGCTAGCGTTTAACCCCCACTAGCAGGATCATTACTAACATATCGACAGGTGCCGATATGTGCTAGCGTTTAACTCCCACTAGCAGGATCATCAATAACATATCGACATGGGCCGACATGTGCTAGCGTTTAACTCCCACTAGCAGGATCATCAATAACATATCGACATGGGCCGACATGTGCTAGCGTTTAACTCCCACTAGCAGGATTACAGAAACATGACCACATCGGAGACAAAACAGGCTGAAGTTAACAGAAAAACATAATTCATCAATCACTTTCAGATCATCAAGACAATCAATCTCCAATTTCAGAAACAACCGAAAAATCTCCATGTGAGCATGGATTTAACAGAAAACTTAGAATTTAAAAAACTCTCAGTTCATCAAAACAGTTCAGTCAATTTCCAAATAGGCATGCTCTACTCAATGCAACGAAAACAATTTCATTCCAATCATGCTCAATTCCAGAAAACAATAAAATTCTCATAAAAACCATCACAATTTCCATTTCAGTTTAATCACATTCGGATGCTGATAAAATCAATTTAAAATCAATTTAACCTTGCCACCATCTCAAAAACAGTTTAAAACATGCTTTAAAATCGAAGGGCTTTACCATGATTTACTTACCTCACTCGCAAAACCGAGCACTCAATTCACGTACTAAACTGACAGAACGATGGGGAACCTAATCAAAATACCTCAGAATTAATACCAGACTATCACAAATTCAAACTGAAATCATCATTAAGATCACTCTTAATCTCGATGCTATTCCTATCAATCTCCACATGATCAAATATCTCCAAATTCGTTCTTATATCACAAACTAATCACTTAAATCCCTGTTAATTGTCGGCCCTCGGTGTGTGGACAGTGTTCTGTGAACAGTGCCATGAACAGTGCCATGAACAGTGTTCGGTGAACAGTACCACGACGAGAACAGTAACTCTAACTTCCAAAAATTGGCCAAAACACTAGCTAATCACGGGGTTTTCTCCAAAAATCACACAGCAGACAATTAACACTCAATCACATAAATCCCACTTAAATTAATACTTAAACTTCGTCCTAAAGCTACCGGAATTATCCCCAAATTTTCTATCAAATTCGGACAACACAACCAGCAAACTATATGGATAATTTCAAGCTTAAACGGCTGTCACATACCATAATTCTCCAGCTAAAACCGGAGCTGCAGATTGGGGAAGGCCGGCGGCATGGAAGAAGAAAGCTCACGGGCTACCCAAAAATTGAAGGAACCAAGAGCAATTAACATAAACCCAAGGCAATCAAAGTTGGAGAAGGGAGATTCATGGCTGTTTCTTACCCAAAATCAGAGAAATTTGCCCCCACAAAGCAGGAGCAGCCGGCGGTGAAGAGGAGGAACAGAGCAGATC